ATTCTGTTCGTTTTTTTTTGCTGCAACAGCCGAATCAACCAGATATATATTTTGTCGCTTTCTGTGATCGGCAGCTATAACACCTTTCGAAAGCACGCGCGACGTTCCTTCTCTTGAGGGCAAGCGGAATACGAAACTGGCGAAGTTCGCGCTCTGGCCGATACTATCTGGTCGAGTTCCCAACTATAAAAATCGGTGGTTCGCGTGCCGCACTCTTTTTTCCTATTCTCAGCTCACCACGGCTGCAAATGACGTGGGAGCGTGCGTCCCACACACGCGTTCTCCCAGATGACGTCACGCAACGTGACCTTATAGCATAGCATATGACGGGGGCCGTAGCTCATTGTGCATGCTGAAAAAAAAAAAAGATGAGATGTCTAACTAGTTCGACACCTTGAAACCCTTCGGTCTGAAGCCCCTTTCATTCGGTTTCTTCATGCTTTTTTTTTCTTTCGTATTGCCTGGTTACATCTAAGTAACAATTTTTCTCTTATGCTGATAGTTAAATCCTGATTGGCTGGAGGTAACCTACGTTACTCCAATGACACCCATCATCATTCACCGCACACATGGTTCTCCCTTTTCAAAAGCTCCCACTTGAGTACTCAGTGAGCATCAAGGTGTGTCCCCCTTTCAAACCACTCTTTTAATCTCGCGCCTTACGTAAGTTGCAAGATCAGCGGAAATACCGTAGGTGAAGATTTTTTTATGCTGATTACCACACTATAAAACTAGCATTGGGCAAGAAAGGCGTACCAAATTACCCACTTATGTGTCACCGAAACGAGACCATGCACTGAAAGTGCCCGAATTTTCTTTCGGAGGTGACGTATTCTGGTATTATTCTTTCTTTCACGAGCCATAAGAGAATTGAATGCCCTATCGCCTGAGATTGTGAACATTTTGGACAACGATGTGTTTTACTACGCTTTGTGAGTGTGATAACATCGTCATTTTTTTACGTAACCCCATTGCTGTAATGCCCGCTGGGGCAATGCAGGTATGTAGTAAATAAGTTCTACTAAATAATCACGTGATCCTCCTTACGGAGCCCTGTTTCAATCAACCGCATTACGCGAGCTCCATCGCATGGCCCGTTTCAATTATATCCCTCTTTGAATCAACCGATTTACGCGAACTGAATCCCGGGACCCTCTCTCAGACCTCGACTTGAACGTGATCGTTTACGTAAGCTCGATCGCGTCACCCCCATTACTCTCTCCCATTCTCATCAGACCTCTTCCTCTCTACGATAGTCACGTGGCCTTTTTAAGCGTCATACAAACAACGATGCCGACAGCATGCACAGAACTTGCGTCATCACGTTTTCCTGTCCTCCTCTCATCAGACCTCTCTCCCTATTCACCATAGTCACGTGGTCATTTTCAGCGTGATATCACCAACGATGCTGACGGCGTAGGGTTTGCATAAATACCTTCTCGAATTGAAGAATTAGTACACCACCTTCCACTTTAAAAAATTATGTGGGGATGCGAAGCAGCGCTGGTGTTCCTTCGTGTTTCCATTTGCTGTTTACACTTGTACGTTTCAATGTATGTTTTCATTTGTGTGTGGAGTTGTGCATATGTTGTGTACCGCTTAAGTTGCGCCGTCCCCTCCCGTTTGTGTGTATTACCAAGTGCGTGCCGCTAAATGAAAGCCCAGCGCTGCTATAGGAAAGTACAACGAAGTGAGCGCACACAGCATTATATACGAGCGCGCAGCTGTGGCGGAGAGATAAACGGACAGTAGAGGGGAAACGTACTATAGCGCAGGAGCGCTCTGCCACCTCCTTCACCCCACCTCCTCGCGCTCATGCGTGGAGAGGGTGAAAGTCGGCGCATGCGCAGTAAAGGTGGCCACGCCGCACACCGAATCGAACTCCGTCATAAGCCGCTTCGCACACGAAAGACGTGGGCGTTGACAAGCATGCTTGGACATCTTTGTTACTCGCAACGTTATCGACTGTGCTTCGGCTGTGCCGTCACGCGAAGCACCGATTCAGGCACGCCAATATGCGAAAGATCGACGATGCGTAGAAACAAAGCATAAATAAACGCAGAGAAAAGACGCGGAAAATGCGGATATTGTGGGGCGCTCAACAATAGCGGGGCACAGCACGTTCTCTTCTGTCGCAATCGACTGGCAAAGAGTTGCACCGCCTCGGATCGGGCAAAAAAGCCCGTCCCGTCGAACTCGCTGACAGGCGTGTGCACGCTTTTGTGATATATGCGCACAAATTGCACGAGGCGCGCAAGCAAGCGCGGGAGAAATTCTCAGTTCGATCTTTTCTGCCGAATGAAATATTCCTTTCTCGGAAACAACAATGCGTGAATGCTATAGGATCATTCGGTTCGGTCGAGTTTCTAGCGCATCTCTCTCTTTTGATTGTATTCAAAAGTTCCGTGACACGTGATCAGGTCTGGAAGAAAATTCATACACTCCAAGTGAAAAAAAAAAAGAACGAGTTACTGTCTTTTCGGTATACGTCCTCTCCTTAAAGAGACTGTCTTTAGGCTGTCACGTCTCTCCAAATAGAGTAGAAAGATCTTTGAACAGAGTTTACGTACTTATTGAAAGAAAGTGATATACTCGTATATGAGTGATAGGGAAACATGAGTCATCTATCTATTAATGACATACACATGGCAGGTCAGTAATGGCATGAACTTATCAAAAGACTCTTTTTTAGCGTGCATACGTATGTTCTATGCAGTATGCAGTATGAAAACTTCTATATAGAGACTGATATATATATATATACCCTACTGAAACGTTCCGTATGCGAGTCCAATAGTTCCATATGTTTCCATAAAGAATGCACATGTTTCCCATATATTTTCCATATATTTCCATTTTTACGGAAACATACGGAATTATTGGACATCGCATACGGAACGTTTCAGTAGGGTATATTCGAAGGTCGCAGGTTCGGTACCTGCACACGGCAAGTTATCCTTTCAGCCACTTTTCTAACTTTACAATTCGGTTTAATAACTTCCCCTATACTTTCTTGAGATTATCGTCTGTTACATCTCATTACATTGTGTCAAAAAACACAGAAAAACGAGCCCTTAAGTATCCACTTCTTTCCCATATATATATATCACAATTTATTTCAGATTAATCGTCTTAAAGACTTCTCTCCGGAGCCTCCATGAGCAGTTTATCGACGATCGAAAAACCTTCGGGATATACTAAGGTCATCAGAAATAACAGCACCTGTCTATGTAGGATGTAATCCGTGTAACCAGACACGTTGCAAGGAAGGTGTGCCCCCACACGACGACTTCGCGAAATTTTAAGAGTCCTGCGTAAGACTTTACTCTAAGATTAAAATGCAATTTCGACTGCAGCACGAGCAATGTAATTTACTTGCCGGAATGCTCATCGTGTAACCTGCAATACATAGGCCAAATGGAAACACCTTTCCAATTGCGCTTTAATAATCATAGGTCACATGTCTTCAGCCTGCCTAGCCTTCACTTGCCCAAACGCGTCGCTACCTCAGGTCACTCTTTTTGACAACTCAACCGCCACAATACTCGCATCTGGTTTTAAATGGCACTACCAAAGGGAGGTTGGCGAATCTGTTTTGATTCATAAACTTAATGCCACAGCACCTGGATGCAACGAGAATTTGGGTATGTTAACTTTTTTGCCAGTAAAACAGATAAATGAATCATCTTAATCCGTATGCACGTTTGCTTGCTGTCGTGTTGGAATAGATAGTGATATCCGCCCAATCAGTTAGGTGACCTAAGCACCAAAGTTAGGAGACCTAAGCACAAAATACATTTTTTACGGGAACCTTAGTGAGTACACTTCTTTTGCCGACTCGTGGTACGCTATATACACTCACGTCCAAACAGACGCACTAACCAATGCCTCCTAAACAAAATTATGCCTGGAACGTGAGCCGCGAACGTGCCGCTGCACCCTCGGATTTTAACCTCCCTCTCCGGTACGGAGGCGAACACCTTTGGCGGCCGCCCCTTGCGAACGCAGCAATGCTCTCACAGTTGCCTCCGAGCAGCTGTGATATCACGCGACAGAGCGGTACGGTAATGTCACGTGGCTGAGCGGTATGGAGGCGAGTGGTCACACGCGGCGCACGGTCGCAACACGCGGCAAAAGGCATGGCCTCCGAGATTTTGCGCTGGCAGGAAGCTCCCAATTGAAAAGAGAGCGACGTTCCAGGCATAGTTTTTCTAGGAGGCGTTGCACTAACATATACAAGCAGTGTTTGACACCCCTTCTCCTACATCTCCCCTCCGCCAAACACAAATTTTGAGCACGCGTAGTGCAAGAACCACCGGACAAAATCCTAAAAACCATCGGACATGAGCGCATGCGCAGCATCACATTCATAGGTGCTTTCTTAACTCCAGCTTAAAGTTTTATCACCTCACGCACGCAAGATCTTCTTTCAGATACTCAAGATTTTTACGAGACATAGCGACCGACGCAACACAAACACATTTCCTTATGTGATTCTTAAAGAGAAAAGAAAAGTGAGCCCCGTAATGTCTCTTAGGAGGAGGACACCTCAACAGTAGCTCACGAGGGATGGGGGTAAGGAGGGCTTGGAAGAATAGGATGAAAGGTATAGATATAGAGAAGGGGGGGGGAGAGGAGAGAGCGTGGCGTATGGACAGCGACACCTAAAACCAAGGAGAAGATAGGAAAGGTGGACACGGTCGCAGGAGTCCGAGGACGGGGCACCACTCAGCGAGAGCTCTTGTCGACGGCAGGAGATGGCGTAAGGCGAGCCAGTCGGCCAGAGCTGCGCTGTCGTCGGAGATCGCGGGGGCACAACAGCTCGGCACGAAATCCAGAGAGCGAGTCCCACACATTTTGCATCTGTTACTTTGCCCCGTAAAAGGGATTGAGTATCCGAAAGCAATAAGTCTTCATTGCCTTTGCTGTTCCAGCCACGCCCATTCTCTTACACCAAGCCCGACAGCGTGCACCGGGGTCGCACCACGTGCACGACGTACCTGGTTTCGTTGTTCTCGAATACGAGCGTTCCTTCACATGGCTCGAAGTCCTTGTTGACCTTGGCCGTGCCCTCGATCGCCTTGTACGGCAGAAAAACGCGGCCGCGGGCTCCGCTGAACCGGTTCACCTTGACGCGGTACTCGCCCACGGCCTCGCTTATCTCCACCTGCGCCAAACACGTACGTCTTATCAACACTCGAACGAGTCGGACCGTAATCCGTCTATTACAGCCCCGAAACAAGAGGCATCCACTGGGATTATCGTGGCACATCTGCTATGAGACCGTGAGCAGGGTTTGAAGCCAAGCGCGTTGACAAGGACCCAAGCAGAGAGGCGACACAACCGTACTGCATGTTACTCTATACAATGCAAAACGTGCGGTACACCTAACGCTGAGCTCGACCATATTATATGGGCCTGCCCCGAAGCTACTCACTCAGTTAAACACAGCACGAACCCTACATTCACAATCACCACGGCCGAGCAGCGGGAAGCTTTGCTGCTCAGCACGTGCCCGGAGGACCAGCTCTGGGCTGTCCGGCTGGTCGAAGACGCCGCCAGGATTCAAGGCCTGGCCGCCGCCTGAGGAAGGGGGTTACAGAGGGGCCCGTCTCCCGGCCCCCCGCCACCTTTGACTCCAGCAGGGACACTTGAATAAAGTTTCTTCCTTCTCTCTCTATGGTACTACTAGCAACTGCGTGCGTTTCGTCTTCGCTTCTGCGGGCTGGGAACTCTCTTCATGATGCGGCCCAAACTAGCTGGGGCAAGCAGTATTCTCAAGTGTTTTAACAGCCCACGCTTTCTTCTTCGTCACCTGTGTTTTTAAAGACGGTAGTATTTAAGGGATACTTGAATGCAGATTAGTCTGTCTGTCTGTCTTTCTGTCTGTCTGTCACACGATTCATACACCAAGCCAAAGTTTCAGCACTTGTTGAATGGCCAGCCATCTGAACTAGTGGCTGCGTTCGTTCTTGTAAACATCGTCGATTAAAAAGCGAATATTAGACATATCTAAGGCACAAGATCAGTACGTAAGTACTAGGTGGTGTGTTCTTTTACTGCAAAATACACAGATACGTGACTCTAAAGACTGCATTGAATTGAAGTGAATGGTATTGTCTTATATTCAAGAGTACGTAGGTGCACTTAGCGAGGAGAAACAATAGAGAGTAGCTCTGGCCTCCTGCCAGGGTGTTTCGACCAGGCATAACTATTTGGCACAGCTTGTGTCAACAAAAACGGGAGTGATTACGTAATTTAAATGATGAGGGTACATTTGTTTACAAGAAGAAAAGGCAGGTAAAAGTGTAAGCAAGCATGCAGCACTGAACGTTTCAAAAATAAGACAATATGCACTAATATTTAAATGATTACATGCGAGCATGACAGCTAGTGGTAAAACAAATGCCAGCGAAGCATCGCATGCAGCTCACGATGCTCAAGTAAGGCAATGTCCATAAACTTTGAGCTTATGGCGCAGTCATTTCCGTTTATTGCATCCATTGTCGAAAAAAACTGATTTCGAGTACGTCGTACTCAACTATGGGAGAGCAGTTAGCCGTTCCTATGTACTATGTCCCTATGTACTATGTTCCTATGCAACGAAGAAATCAAGAAATGAACCGGAAGTTCGCCGTTTCCTTCCTGGTGGAGGTGGGTTTACAAGAAGTAATTAACGATTTAGAGTACTTGGTACCCTGAAAAGGAAAATCTGAAAGCCGCCCCGTGGGCTTCACACATCATGAGGACTCATCGATAAAAATGTAATACTCCAATGACCACAGTACGGTGACCATGGACTGTGTGTTTAGAAAAGTGGTTATCGATTTAGAGTACTTCTTACTCTACTGTAGGAAAGCGTAAAGCCGTCCCACGGGCCTCACACTTCATGAGGGCGTGCTGACAACAATTACTGTTTTGAAAAAGTGGTTAACGAATTAGAGTGCTCTGTACTCAACCATGAGGGAGCTGAGAGCCATCCCTTGGGCCTCACACCTCATCGACTCGGCAACGATCTTATGACGGCATATAGTTCCCATACGAACCTAACGGCGCATTCATTTCCGAAGTACTCATTTAGACCCGCCTGCTTGTACAAGTGCTAAGAAGGTAGATTAGGTGTTTTTATTCATTCTATAAGGCGAAATTCCATTCGGCGTTGCACTAGCTCTAATACCGATTCGGCGGCACTAACGAATCGTTTACCAAGCAAGTGAGCATCCGTTATAGGTGGTGATAAAGTCCGGCTGTATGGCATCTTTTTTTTATTATTGGCAATTGCTCGTGAGCCGCATGCCCTATTGTCGGAAGAAAAATATTGGCGCTTTTCTTTCACATGGTCCTAGTCTATGTCGTTCCTTAGATTTCTTCATTCTCATATTAAAAGCAAACTTTGCCGAAACTGGAACACAACATTATCCTTTCGGGGCGAGAGAGCAAGGCTTGTCTATCCGTTTGGCGCCCTTGCGCATGACTAGAGTCAAAACACACACACACACACACACACGCACACACACACTCACACACACACGCGCGCGCACACACACACACACACACCGCGCGCGCACACACACACACACACACACACACGCAAACACACGCACACACGCACACACACGCACGCACGCACACAAACGCACACACGCACACACACACACACACACACACACACACACACACACACACACACACACACACAAACACACACACATACACACACACACACACACACACACACCGCACACACACACACACACACACACACACACACACACACACACACACACACACACACACACACACAGAGTGAGAGAGAGAGAGAGAGAGAAGGGTTAGTAATAGACTTACATCAATCATAATTGAGACAAAACAATATGAGACACCTAGAGCACAAATGCTGTATACCAGTCGGCGACTTCGACAAAGATAATATCGACCATAGAACCAAGCTTCGCCCACTATTCACCGTTCACTACAATAAGATGAGGCGACTTTTTAAATGAACAAAACCTTAATCATTACACTGAGAACAATTGAAGGCGAAGTAAGCGTTTTGACAACAAATGACCACCGGTTAGCATGATAATCTTGATTTCGTGGTAATGGTAAATCATTGGAGATTTTTTTTAACGTGTATCGGAGCCAGCACAAGCCTCTCTAGTATTGTCACTTCTCACTGCGTACATTATAGTATACTCTTTTTGCGTCAGATGTTTGGTATTTGCTGTAGTAAGGCATTGAAACACACGAATGTCATGTATTTACCTGACGTATTACCTTACAGACAGGTGGAGGGATGGTCTAACGCTCATCAATGAGAAGTAGTCCTCTAGAATGATTACTCGTTTTACAGTAGACACTCGGCAATGCAACAGTAGACCGGTTGAGGTTACCTTCCGTAACCGGTCTACAGACGCGCTGCTGTGCGTCTGCATGGACGGACTTGGGCACATTATATGGAGAACAAGAGTGACCTCACTGCCCCGGCAGGCGGGTTCAACCTCCTTGTAACAACCACCACGTCCTTACCAACCAGAGAGAGATAATTATGCCGAATGTTCACATTTAAACACGTGCCACTAGTGACCCATTCGGGCGATCGTTTGAGTCTCTTCGACCATGTTGAAAAGTGGTGAATCACCCAGCTTTAAAGCTCTACATCAAAAACAAGAAAGTATAGGGTAGGCTGAGGCTAAATGCAACAGAAATTCGAAAATAGCGAATATTGTTTTTATTGCACTCTTTACCGCTCAATGTCAATGTAGAAACTTTCCCTTGGGTACAAGATAAATGTGCAGCATAAATATTGCCACCCACACGTAGTGGGTCGACTGCAAGAGCGGCTCTACCATCTGGAGGAAAGAAAGAAGATTTGCGTGTTTCTTCTCGGCTCGAGAGCCAGCCACGACTGACGCATCGTCCTAGAGCTAGCTACCCGGTCGTTCAATATATCCCCCAGTACTTGTGACTCATCGTGACAAACTGGTGGAGGTGCTGGGTAGTCTCACGGATGCTGCAGACCCCCCAGGAAGCCGTAATACGAGTCCAGTGCCAGTCAATACTCCCGTGCATCGGACGAGCCGCCGAATCAGGGGATTGCCTCCGGAAGTCAACGATACTGCTCCCACCACGTCAACAAACATGACCAGCACTTCGGTACAAACCTTGCCAACCGGCACGGGAAGCACGTCGTCGAACCGATATACGTTGGAAAGCCCACGGGCACCGACTACGTTCCATGGTACGGAGAGCGAAGACGTTGAGGACTGGTTGGCGGACTTCGAGCGCGTAGCCAACTTGAATCAGTGGGACGACGCGGCGAAACTGGGTCGTGTATACTTCTATCTCGAAGACGGGGCTCGCACGTGGTATCAAAATCGAGAGGAGCAGCTGACGACGTGGCCAGAATTCTCTCGTAGACTTCTGCAGACATATGCCAGCGCTGACCGCCAAGAAAGAGCTGAACGAGCTATTCTTGCCCGCGTCCAGTCGCCAAACGAAACTGTGACCGCGTACGTCGAAGACATGACGCGTCTCTTCCGACGGGCAGATTCAAGAATGACAAGAAGTTGCGTCACTTGATGCGTGGTGTCAAGGACCAGCTTTTCGCCGGCCTCGTGCGAAGCCCTCGGAAGACGGTCGCGGAGTTCTTGTCTGAAGCCGTGACAATGGAAAAAATGCTACAGCAGCGATCGAACCAATACGACAGGCAAGTCAGTGGCATGTCCACTGCTGACATTTTCGCCGCCGCTGGGACCAGCAATGACTCCTTACGTGAACTCATTCGTAATATCGTACGTGAAGAGTTGCAAAAGGCTGGTGTAACACCTCATCCTACGGTTAGCTCTATTGCAACTGTGATCAAGGATGAGCTGCACCAGGCCCTCCGGGACACCTTGCCTCCTGATACAGCTGCGTCAGCTCCTGCTGAATACCACCGTAAGACAACCTACGCGGAAGCCTTGAAACGCCCTGCTGCATCGCCGCCATTGTTCGTTCATCCTGTCCCTGCAGTTTCACTCGAGTCAGCGCAGCACATACCATACTACGAAGGCACGTACACGCCACCGCCCCTGCCCTTTGTCCGTGGTGCTTCCGTTGCCCATCGTTCGGTGCAACCGGTCCAGTACATCGACGATCGGCACTCGTATCCTCGGAAGTCTGATG